AACGAACCAATGCAAATGACGTGTTACTACTACCTTCAATCAACGAGACCATTGCTGAGATTAAACTTGGTCCGTAACACATTGAACATATAGAAACAGCGAAAGGGCAGTGGTAACAAAAGACCCAATCAGAACTTTCAATTAGCCTGCTTCGGATCTCTAAGCTTTAGGAATTCCAAATCAAAGGTTTGATCCAAGTATTAATGCTGATTGAGGCAGGTCCTGCATACGTCACCTGGCCCAGCGATCGGCTACGCCAACGATAAACATAAAAGGAATATAACATCACAAAGCTAACCTATTTTTTTCTTTATTATTCAATTTCTTTCTATTATCTGTTATATTCAATTTCTATTTATTATCTCTCTTAAATTGGAATCGTACAGCTCTCCTATATATATATATATATCATCACAGAAATAGAAGGTTGGTATCTTTGAATCTTGGACAGCTTCATTTCAGAATGCCTTTCAGGTGAAAATGTAATATTTTAAATAAAAACAATAGAGTGGAAATTTTATCCTCTAAATGATTATAAACATAAGGCTTTTCACATGCAAACGTCAAAAAAGTCAAGTAAAGCAGCCGAACTTATAATATTTGGGAGCACTAATTACCGAAAATAATGAAATGGTGGAAGAATTGAAAGGTGTTGTTTTGAAATGCGAAAAATATTGAATTACAGATCTATTATTCACAGAACAAAGATCACGGTGTATGAGAAAGTCATCAAACCCGTCGTCACCTATGGTTCTGAGACTTGGGTGATCTCCATAGCTTTGGAAAAATGGCTATTCGCGTGTTAGAGAATGTTTCTCCGCAGGATATATGGCCCGGTGGGCAAACATGGACAATGAAGAATTCGCACTAATAAAGATGTATACATTCCCGGATTTAGTCTCAATTGTGATGGGAAATCAGGCCATGTGGCGCGTATACCCAGAGAAGAGATTCAAATATGCCAGCTAGAGGATCGGTCTGGTGGAAAACATGGAAGAGAAAGACCACGCCTGAGATGGCTGGAAGGGGAGGAGAACAGCCTGAGAAGGATGGGAATTTGAAGATGGAGAATGCCTTCTTGGGATAGAGGAGAGTGGAGGAAGATTATTAGAGAGTCTCAGGACCGTAGCGTCAAGAATAAATAAATAAAAATAATGATTCTGGAGTTTTGTTAGTTTTCTTATATGAAAGTTAAAAAACAAAATAAAAGTTCGAATTATTCTATTTTACACCTTCTCAGGAATGGAGTCGCACATTAATAGAGGAGTCATATTTTTATTCGCACATTTAACGACACATCTGTTACACTGAGTTACTTATTACATTACTGGAGCATTAGAGCAAAAACTATATAAAACTGGAGTATTTTTGGATGTTACTCAGGCGTTTTCGTCTGATAGAGTCGGGCATCAGGATTTCTTTAAACTTAAACCTATATTACCCTACTTATCCTTCGATCTTTTTTCTTCGAATTTAAAAATTTTGATTAAACATTTAGTTTTTTTTTTTATCCGAATAAATTTTCAACCGACTAACGCCCAACTCTGGTTAGAACCTTTTCATACCAAGACCATTAATGTAAGTTATACAGATATGATTTTCCTTGCTCTTGGCGCCTGCAGAACCTAAGATACCCTACCGCATGACAATTCGGTCTTACAGGTTAGTATAGAGCTCGAATTTATTATTGTATCATGTTCCATTCTTCAAGAACCTAGTTTCATGCAGATTATTTCAAAGTGATACTTATGTTTATAAATTTCTTAAGTATTTTTTTTTATTATTTTTTTTTTTATATCTTTATGACATTTACAACTGTATTACATAAATACATCAAGTAAATTTGGACATAATTGATATAATGACATGAATACACTTGCTGAGTAACTACTCAATGGTAGCACTCTAATGATATGACTACATTAGGAGATTACGGGGCCATCTTCTTTTCAGACGCCTCGGAGGGTTATCAGGAATTGAAAAGGAAGCAAGGTTAGAAACGAGAGGGTTGGGATGATTCTGAAGTTTATTATGGAAGGATAGGTATCTGGATTGGGCCAGATCTGAAACATAAGGAACATTAAGATCTTTATGGATAATTTTATTAGTGACAAAGTAAGGAGCATTGAGGATTTTACGAAGGATTTTGGATTGTAAGGGTTGGATGCGAGAGGAATTCGATGGTTTAGTGGAGCCCCATAGCTCAATCTTAAGTATTAAATTATTATTTCATTTGTGAATACATAAAGGAAATGAAAATAATAAATACAATTATCAAATATATTTATACACCTCCTTAATTTTTATTTATAAATATTGTTTGGAAAATTGATTAAATTATTGACAAATCACAAAGTATAACATTTAAATTTCGATGAAACACATGCGCACTAATTTATGTCGGTTAACTGCTGGCTGGGCACTGTTCTTTCTAATGCCCAACATACCATTTTCCAAATTTATTACAGCTATTGTTAAATAGACGACAGGTAAGATTTGGGATCTGCAGATTCCAAAAACTAAAATTTACAAAAATCAAGATAAACGTTTTATATTATTATTAATTAAGTATTTATCAGATAATTAAGTAAGTATCAAATTCTATCCACTACTCTAAAAAAAAACAAAAAAACTTTCGGATTAGTAAACGTATTATTTAAATATAGTCTATAGTCTGAATATAGACCAGTAGTTTCAAAACGGCTTGTTCAATTGGACCCAAACTTGGAGGAAATTTGGAGAATAGTTTAGAAATTGTCTAGTACCAATTTCAATTTGTTCCATTTATTAATTAAAATTATATAAATAACTGTTAACAATATAATGACTGTGAAAGGTGGAAGGCTTTGGTCACATGGAATAAGGCTAAGGTTAATACAATATTTTTCTGACGTAATATCATTTTAGGTTTTATTCAAAAAGTCAATTTATACTGTAATGTTTAGTCGATTCAGAACTTTACTCGCATGACACTTTCTGCCTTCACTTAGATTTCATGTAATTTTCAACAAATTTTAATTAATTTTTCCTTTTTTTAGTTAGTAAAAAAAGTCTTTTTTGTGAATTTGTTTGTTTCTATTGTAGTTCAACCAGCTCGTCGTGGTCTCGATTTCCTCCTTAATCCTCAAAGTTGTGTGAACTTCAATCATATTTTTAAATTCTAGGTTAAATTAGTTTTGCTCAGGCTAAGGGAAGTCTCGTTAACTCAAAACAAACAGAAAGTTTAATTTTTCCAATGAATATTTTGTACCATCCATTTCACTAGTGAAAACATACATGTTATGTATATATCACTACTGTTAATGCTAAAGGTGGTATTTTGTAATATGGAACTGATATAGGCAGCCGGGTTCTGTGTAAAATAGCGGAGACGAATAAAATATAAAATTACACTAATAAATCATAAAGAAATAATTAGTTTTATGCTCTACTGTAAAATACTCTATTTTTTGCACTAATAGTTGCAATATACATCTTCTGTATGCACTGGTATTTTTTTAAAATAACGATACATCAAATAAGCAGTTTGCAAATATGAAACTCTTCCACATTTTAGTATTCGCTGGTGAACAAAATGTGTGGATATCAAACCCGAAAATCGATGCTCTTATTCTCACACAGAAAATTATAGATTTTGAAATATAGACAATGCAATCAGTGAAGAAGCTATACTGGCCTTACTTGGAAGACGTTTTTTATTTATTTCATTCGATTGTTTGGATATTTTTTTTTCTACCTCAACTGTTGATAAATGCTTACTGTATTCAAGTAGTGTATTATAGTTGTTAACGCCGCATACGCTCATATCTTTATTTATTTTTTCTCACCATCCCTTTTTTAATGTTAATTAAATAAGATGTTTATTTTTTTTGTTGTAAAAAACGGAGGAATATTGTATCTAAAATGTATCTCAGTGTATATTGTTTATATATTTCGCTTCGTTTGCAATGTATTACCGTGTTGTATATACACACCAGCCTGGCAGTAATACCCAGTATTATGGATTAAGGCTCAAATAAAGCCATAATACTGCCGGAAAGTCAGTCTGGAATTAGCCCTTTTTGATATTAAATTCATGTAGTGGGCGTCTCACCTGACAACAGCCTTGCGCCATTTTAAAAGAACAGCTTTTTGGCGCATCGGCAGTCGTTGATCGAGATCGATAGGCTATCGATTCGATAATTCCTCACAAACGACTGTGTAACATCGAAAAGGTAACATTGTTGGAAGCAGAACCTCCAACTTGGCTCGTTTTTTTTTTATTCTCCACCGTCATGAAAGACAGCAAGTTACTTTAATTTTTTTCCTAGGCTAAATTAGTTTTATTCTTATGGACAGTTATTTTTTCTCTATAATTTTGGAAGTTGATATTTTGTTATTAATGGTTAATTTGGTTTTATTTTTCACTGAATATTGTATTTTATGTTTCATTTCATTTCAGTGGATTTTAATATTTTTGTTTTGAATTTTGTATATCTTTTTTCCACTATAAGAAATTGTAAACGTTCGAAAGGGAATATTTATTTTCCCATTTTTCTTTATTATAAAATATTTATATTTTTTAATATTTTCTTGTGCATGAATTTTTTTCTTATTTTATCGGTCTTATTCTCATTAACTTTTTTTCCTTTCTTTCCCACCATTAAATTTTGCTCGAATTTTCCCCACCTTTGAGGAAACTCACCGGGAAAATGTTTGTATTTTCAATTTTAAAATACTCCTGGTCCCAACAATAGTATTCAGAGTAGTGAACAGACAAGTAGTGAAACTTATATTATCAGAAAATTTTATTTAAAAAAAAAATCGTAACCAGATTAAAACATAATCTTATGATCCATCTTTAAAGAGTATTGACACGTCTTGGCTTGAGTCTGGGCGGAGATATCCTTTATTCACTAATATTTCTTTTAGATTTATATAATGCTAAAAAAAAATTTAAATGTAAAAATATTGTCAAAGAAGCATCAATTTGTGTTCTCTATTGCTTTAGCTCGAGTAGCCTACTTCGCAGACATGGACGGAAACCCAAGAATAGGCCTAGGAAACCATATGGAGCCTAATGCCTTTCTCAAGGTGAAGAGAGCCATCGAGTAAGCCGGTGGACGGCTATGTTCTAGCAGGGTATTAACTTTCACGATTATGTCTCTTCGGTACATTTCAACGCCTAACAGCAATGAGAAAGTCTTCTCGAGGCATCTCTAGGCAGAGACTGAATATCATAAAGGAGTGCTCAACTCCGTATGTCGATATAGTTATTTTTTGTATTGTTTAATATTTTGGTAAAACAAATATTATCGTTTCACATAAGTACAATATTAATTGAAGTAAAGAATAAAATGTTAACATAATTATTTATTAATTAATTAATAAAATATAACGTGTTTCAAAGAAATAAATTACACCTTGACTTCCTCTATTTATTTATGTCATTATATTTTTTTAAATATAAACTTCGTCAGATAACCGTTGGAGATGACGCCACTGTACATCCCTTCTATCCACCATCCATCCTTCAATAACACGAGCATTGCATCTTTACCTTAGAGCAGTCAGGTTGTTATCATTTCTCTTACTTATTTTCTTTCTTATTTCAACCTTCTCAGTTTCTCTCCTCCTTCCTTTCATTCCTTTTCTCTGTTTTAACTCTTTATTATTTCATACTTTGTCTGTACATATTGATAGACTTTACAACATCTCAATTTTCTATCTAAATATTCTATTCACTATATCTTAATTTTACTATTTATTTCCATTTCTTATATAACTTCATCTTTTTCTGGTTTACATTTTATTCTAAGATTCCCTTTACAATACTTATTTCACCTTTTTTGACTATGTTTACTTCACCATTCCACACTTTGTACCTGTTATTATTATTTGTCTCTTGTTCTTACTATTGTCATTATTCTAACAACTTCATTTTACTGTGATTTTTATATTTCTCATACATTGTTCTTTTCTTAGCCCTGATGATGGCCTGAACTTCAGGTCGAAACGTCGGCATATGTAAAAATAAATATTATCATTTATTTTTGCCTTCTTTTTTGACTGACCACCCCAACTATTCTTCTCTTCATTATCCACGACAGTCAACCATTTACCAATTATATATTTTTTAAGTGGGTCGTTTTAGCTGTATTGGATGTAAGGAGCCGTGGCGGTCGAGCCAGTTAAGGAGCATGCAAAACATATTTATGCTACGAGTTTAACTTCTGTTCACGGGAATTAATAACAAAAAAAATTAATTAATAATATATAAGTGCAGTCCATGCTCGATTGCTTAGACCACTACGGCGCGGTTTCGATACTGTGTCTAACCATACCGCTCCTTTGGTCCTCCAGATTGAGGACTGGGAACAGGGCTAGTAACCCTATCCAATAAAAACAACAACAAGATAGAGAAGTTTGCAGAAGGTTGTCAACAATCCTGATGTAGAGGGAGTGATTGTGATCATGTTCGGTTATGATAAACCACGTGCTGCCTGGATATCATCTATATAAGAAGAGGACCAATCGATTACAGCTTATCGCCTAGAACAGTCCCAATGCTGCAAGAAGATTAATAGTGGAAGTCAAAAATCTGTTTTTTAGCACCACAGAGTGGTCAAGCGAGTTAAGGCGCCTCCAAAATTGTATATCAACTGGTCAAATCCCGTTAGCGGCTAGAATTTAATAACGCACACACACACACACAAAGAAAATAATTAAGTGCAGGTTCTGCTCGACTACTCAGACCACTGTGGCGATACTAGGACCACAGGTTCGATTGATCGGCCCCTGTGTCTCAAATCATAGCTCCTGCTTCTCCAGGTTGGGGGTCAGGCATAGGGCTGATAATCCCCTATCCAATAAAAAAGTGGGTGGAGGATTGAAGTAAAATATTGCCAACCATCCCGCAGAAATGTTCCTGATGAAGAGGGAGTGAAATGTGATGGCGTCTGGTTAGCCAACCTCGTGCTTCCTGGATATCTGGAAGAAGAGAGAACAAAACGATTCCTACTGTCGCCTATAACAACCCCCGCTGCTGAAGAAGATCATGACTTAAAACGTCGAAGTCAGCAGGCATAGGAAAAAAAAAACTATAACTCTAACAATGTGAAATCAATTACATTTTTAGAGTTAATTTATAGTTCAAAAATCATATTATTTTTTCTTGTTTATTCAGTGAAATTTACAACTGTATACAAATACAACTAGTAAATATGCGCAAATTATAAATCGTGACATGAACAGGCTTGAAGAGATACTACCCAGTGGTAGCACTCCCTAAATAGTTCCAGACGCTTAGGAGTAGTATCAGGAATCAAGGAAGAAGCAAGGGTGGAAACAAGGGGATTTGGATGGGACTGGAGTTTATCATGAAAGGATAGATATCTGGCTCGGGCTTAATCAGCGACATATGGAATATTAAGGTCTTTATGAATGATTTTATTTGTGAAAAAGTATGGATCATTAAGGATTTTAAGGAAGATTTTGGAATGTAAGGATTGGATACGATAGGAATTCGATGGTTTGGTGGAGCCCCATTGCTCAACTCCGTATGTCGATATAGATCTTATTATAGTTATGTAGATGAGTCTTTTGTAATTAATTGAAAGTTTAGAGCGTTTGTCTAGTAGGTGTTTGAGCAGTCGGAAACGTCGAGCAGTTTCTTATCGTTTCAGTCTAGCATGAGGATTCCAAGTAACACGTTTATTCAAGTGGAGTCCTAAGTAGCGGATTTGCTCAACAGGAAAAAGTGAAGTATTATTGAAGGATACTGTAGGACAAGAAGTGATAGGTTTATGACGGAGGGTAAAGGTGATTTGATGGGATTTATTTTTATTCTCCAATTTTTACACCATTCTTCAAGGCTTGTGATATGTGATTGAAGAGTTTGGTATGCAATTAAAGGGCCATAAGGTGGTGATGATAGTGTAAAAATCGTAATTATTTACAAAATATTAAGCATATATATTACATTGTAATATATATAACATATTGAATGTATACTCAATTTTTAAACAGATATACTCGTAATGTATAACATCTTTACTCAAAATGTAAAATACTTAAATTATTTAATAATTATCATTCTCTCACAAGAAGTAGCTTAAACAAATAATGTGTTCTGAAAAGAATGGAATCATAGGATAGGGACAATATCCCTATGAATAATCCCATCAGCAAAATAAACGCCAGTAATTTTAATTATTTACTATCTCATTTTTTATTATAAGAACTTTTATAATTCCAATCAAGAGCAAACAAAAATATTGTTCAACTCATACTTGAATTTTAGTTGTTCAAAAGTTTGGGTACATCTTGAACTTTTTGAAGAAAATGTTTTGACATAAAGGTGTAACAAAAGCTTTTATTGCGCAAACTTTTTCTTAATAAGTCTATTAAATGCTTTTAAAATGAAACTTATTTAAAATGTTTTATGAATCTTTCGAGCTGTGTAAGTATAGGTATGTATTTTGTTAATGTTTCAGTTCTAGTTTTAAAGATTTAGAAAAAAGTGAGTGTTTAGGGTTCCCTAAACCACAATCCGACAGAAAATATCAATAAAAAGTTCCCCTTTTATTTAATTTAAATAAATAAGCTGCCATCTCTTGGCAAGCTGGTGGACACAGTATTATCTTCTAGAGTCTAGACAAGCAGACGAGATAAGATGAAACAGGAATAGATTCCTGTTCACTGAAGTTTAAACAGTTTTTCTTTTGTTTTTGCTACAAAAGAACATAGATTCGAAAACTGAAACTGCCCAGCATGAGGCCAGAAGAACAGAGGAAAGAAGGCAATGGAGTACAACCGGAAGTATAATAAATTAAATTTAGGCAGCAGCCCACCCAAAAAAGATCAATCGATCATCAAATGCAAATATAAATGAAAGAGATTTATTACAATCAAGTCAAAAATTAATTAACATCATTGCAATAAATTTGTCCCCAACAAATCAACCTGCATCATTAACGAATTTTAAAATATAGCAATTAATTTATCATCTCATATTTTAGCCTGTAATGAATTAAACATCAGTTCTTTCAAGTTCACATTTATGTAAAAGTTGCAGTCCACAACTTACAAAACATAAAGAAGTAGAGTAATATCGAAATTATTTTGATAATATCTAGTATTTATTGAGAGGGAGATGCCATAATAAATTCAACGTGGTCCTCCGGGCCGGATATGAACTCAATGTTTGAGTCGTCTAATGAAGGTCTTCCGTTTAATTTTAACAAGTGGTTTCTATGTCATCCATTTGCTATAGAGTTTTTTTTAGAACAGACAAACTATTCTACTTTATATGTCAGTATTGGGGACTTACCATCTGACACGAAGACGTGGATATAGGCAGGCTGGGTGTTGGAGGCGCTGCAAGTGTAGTTTCCAGAGTCTGAGTCCTTAGCTTCGTGTATGGTCAGGTGGCTCTCTGTCTTCTGTCCCTGTTCCGTCCTCACTTGAACACCTCCCCTTGTTGTGTCGTAGTTGATCATCTTGGAGTTGTGGTACCATAGCACGTATTGCGGAGGAGTTGGGCTCTGTAAAAAATCACAAGTATAATTAATAATTTCTAAAAGGTTTAAAAGTTTGACATTTAACTGAATGATAAAGTTAGAATATAAATTTATTTGAAAATATATACTAAATTTCGACGTCCTCTGAGAATTATGATAATGAAAAAAGTGGTCAACCTCTGGATAAGACTCTCAACGCTAAAAGAGAACAGGTATCCACGAATGTGCTTCAATAGACTAAGAAATATGCAAGAAGTTGCCATTGATTTTAACTGAGTCTTACAAGTTCACAATATAGCCACATCAACTAATAGTCTCAATGAACTAAACGTGATCTACAGAACGGGAATGCAAAACCAGTAGACCGTCATAGAAGAAATGGAAAATCATCTTCTGTCTCAAGACATTGATAGAGCTCTGAATTCAAATAATAATCCAGTCTACAGAACTCTCAGCCGTCTAAATTTGGCTCCTGAAGAGTATCTAATTTTCAATACTTGTAAAAACAAAACGCGAGTTGTCAGCCGTTTCTCGAACCCACACACCATAAGTACATATTTGCAAAATAAATCTTACATTATAATTACATTAATTATACAAAATAAATTTGATGCCTGAACCTCAGGTGACATCGTCGACGCCATGTTAAAGCAACGAATGTGCAACGTTAAACAGATTATGATTCGTTACTTTAACATGGGGCCGACAAAATCATGTCATAATAGCTGATTGGTTGATCTTTTAATGTAACAAAGCTGAGTGTTGGTTTCAGGAAGCTTTCCTCATCAGTTTTCTTCAGCAAACAGGTTTGAAATTTTTATTTATGCATCTGTTGTCAGAAATTCCTTTGTTTAAAACTTTAGAGAATTTATTTTAGGTTTATTTTATTATGTAAAAAAATATGTTTACCCTAAAATCTGGTTGTCTATTAAGATACAAAATACTCTGTCAGAAGTGTCTATGTTTTTCATGAATATTAAACTTATTGACTTTATAGACAAAACAAATACGGTAAAAGACTAAATTTGCTGTCAATTATAAAGATCCAACGTCAAAACTTATGTTTTGTTCATACTACTGTTGACAAATTCTTTTAAAGTGACTATTACCGGTACATTTACCTAAGTTCTTAGTATGGCCGAGAGATTGATACTTCCTTACTATTTGGGTGTAGAACATCGACAAAGTGAGAAAACGCTGGATGTTCAAGGATATATCAGAACATGGATTTTTCACCCAAAAATTCCCTTATAATGTTATTAATTGGATTTATATATTATTTATTTGGTAGAACATACAAGATATTTAGCAGTTCAAATTTATCTTACATATATTAATTGAGATAAAATTGGTGCTATCTTCACCTTAATAATAAAACATTCCTGGGTTACAGAGCCCTCAGGTATCACAAGCATTCACATGATTGCCCAAATGCTAGGCAGAGATTCCCACAATATTTGATGTATATATATATATACTAAATATAACATACACACATGTATACATACTAATATAAATTTTTTTCTTCTTCTTGCGTCGGCTCAAAGAAAATATAATTTATTTTTGTGTACTTCAAATGAATATAATTACGAACTTATAAGAGTCAACAATCAACTAAATCTCCACCATTATAAAAAAATACTTCATTTTATACATTTTATTGAGTGATTACCCTATTGTATCAATTATACCTTACGATTAAGGTCAGTATGTATTCCGGATGCCAGTAGGTCTCAGTGAAAAATTACAAATGTTATAGTTACAAAAAACTAAAATAATGCGGATTAAATATTATGAAACTAGAAATTTTCTCTTGTGTAGTTGTATCATGATAAAAAAACTTACTTATTCCATGGCGTTACAGCCTCACAAGGGCCTGGGCCTTCTAAACAAATCTACTCCACTCTTCCCTATCCTGGGCGAGTCTCCTCCATCCTCTGATTTCCATCTCTCTCAATACTCTCTCCATACCATCTGATCATCACAATCGTGGACGTCCTCTAATTCTTTCTCCAGCAGGCTTACCATCCAGTAATTCTTTGGATATCCTACTCGCCGGCATCCGCTCTACGTGTCCCAGCCACCTCAACTGATTCTTTCTTACAAAAGAAACCAGATCTGGTTCTTCTACCATTTATTTCAGCTCCTCATTCTTTGTTATTCTCCAGTGCAGACAGGTCGATATATTGTTCTGAGTACTTTCCTTCTCCAAACTTTTAACATTCTTTTTAAAGTACCCAAGTCTCACAGCCAAAAGACACAACCGGCCTATTTACTGTTTTATATAATATGACCTTAGCTCTGTTATTTAGGCCTCTGAATTTTAAGAGTTTTTGAGTAATAGCACATGTTTCCAGCAGCTACTCTTACCTTAATTTCTTCTTGATGTTCATTTTTTGATGTGACAGGAGCAACTAAATACTTAAACTGGTTTGCTATCCTGAAAGTTTGGCTTCCAAATTTGATCATTTCCTCTTTTCTTTCTGGTGGGTTTCTTTTTGACTTCATATAAACTGTCTTTTCATCGTTAACACAGAGGAATAACTTTTTCGCAGCGTTTTTGAACTCCTCAAACGCTCTTAATAAAGACGCTCTTTATCTGACCGATATTATTTTATGAAAATTCGGTATATATCGTGCATGATAAAAAAACAATCTTGAATAATCCATGATTTTATGAAGAACAGAAATTAGTGTAGTTTAAAAATCATCTTTTAATGGATTTGACAAAGACAAACTCTATTTACATTTGAAGAAAAATTTTCCAATTTACCTTGAAGCGATATTAAAAAAGAAACGTTTAAGTACTTAAATGTCCTCCTCCTCTGCTCAAATTAAGACCATAGTTTATATATTTTTTTCTTGTAGATCTTAACGTCTACTATCACTACTTTAAATGTTACCAATTACTTACGGATCACTCTGTGTATGCCTGAAGAGTAAACTAAAAGAGAGGCGAACGTAATCTTTGTACACAAATGACATGAAGTGTTTACTAAAAGCTGAAGGCAATTACAAACATTAAACGGTAGGAGACTCAATATGTGCACTTCAAATGTGGAATTCGAACAGCCCTTGAAAGAAGAGATGGGATGAGGCCTTTTTCCAGGGAAAAGATCAAAGGAGCTTGAGGAAGGAGGAGAGATAAGATAAAGGATGAAAAGGAAGGACGGGTCACCGATAAAAAGGGAAAAAAGAAGTGAGAGGATCTCTTAAAAGTCGGGGTCATTGTTGAAGCAAAAAGGACAACGGCCTTAGAGCAATAAATGAAGAGGTGACGAATTACTCGAATTTCAAAGGAAATTATGTCCTTTAAGGCGATTGTATATCAATGATAAAAGAGTTTGTATTAAATCAAAAATATTTTTAAATGCCCAGCTCTAAAATGGTATGATTTGAATATTTACAAAAAAATAGATAAAAACTATGGTATGTGCTTAAGAGCACATGATAGAAGTGACAACATGAACTGAGCAGGATTAATAATATGAAATATATTTCTTTATTTATAAATTGTTTTAGTTCTAGTTTTAGTTATTCACAAAGTAATAACATTACAATATATACAATTATTATCTTGGGTTCACACCTCTCAATAAATCATTTTTTCCGTAATTATGGATATGGATTTATTATTATGCGGGGTCAATAATTTTTCGCAACACTATTGACTTCTACAAATTGATTTCTGAATTCTTCATGTCCTTTAAATTTTTAGATATTTTACATCAAATGTTTAAAACAATCGTTATCATTTGGTTTTTTGGTGTCATCTTGTTTCCATTCTCTAGCTCGGCGTCACGTCAAAATAGAATTTTGAATTATAGCTCATTACAAAAGGGATGAAAGTCAAAAACTTTCCCTTCCTTACAGTATGCAGATCCGAATTTTATTTATTTATTTTTTATTCCAACCGTTAAAAAAAAACATGTTATTATTAGGCTTTGTACACTATCTTTTTCACTTTTAGCCTCTTTAACACTGTGTCGCGGAGAATTACAATTTTGAATTACAGCTCATTCCAAAAAAGAAGAAATTCTGAACATTTTCCTTGCTTACAGTATGCAAGATTGATTTTGAGTTTCTGAAATATTTTAATCAAAATGCAAAAATTAGTTGGCTCGAGCCGACTATATCCGAATAAGCGTTACATATAGTGTTACAAAGCTCAATCTCATTTAAAACCAAATCTAATGGAATGTTCTTAAATATCTACTTAAACATTTTGGTAGATTGTAGCGGTAATTTCTGTGCTGGAATATTTAAAGCTGATCTTTAGGGAACATAATAACTTTTTAATTAATTGAAAAAAGCCTAGCAATCTCTGTACAACTAAGGGAAGCTTAAGAGAAAATAACCCTTAAGGGACAATGATTTAAGACAAGTTGACAGACTGAATAACACTAGAGACCTAGAGACTATTTTTTTTATCTACCAAGTAAAATGGAAAAAAATGAGTAGATTTTCTCTATGGACCAGATATATATATTTTATATTATATATTTTAACGGCAACAAATTCGAAGCAAGTGGAAAATGAAATATCAAATGAAACACACCTACTCACTAGTTAATATTGATAACAACCGAATTTTTCAAACGAACACCCTGCTATATCCATGGACTTATCTGCTACACTTGCCGTACTTTACTGTTGAGTATACCAGCAAAGGTAAAAAAAATACATTTTCGCTGAATATAAACAGAAATTAGCGATGGTTGGATACGGTGATTAAGTAAACATATTTTTTTTGCAATAATCCGACTCTTTTTGGTTTAAATTGCCCCAAACAATGATTATATACACATAAGAAATAACTAACAAGGATTAAGATATGAAAAAAAGCGTAATATCCTCATGAACAAAGACGAGGGTATACACCCGTTTGGTTTTTTTTTTTAAATGATCGAAATTAAATTATTTTTATAACAAAAAAAAATCCAGGATATTTTAAACAGTATATTACAACTTATGAATGAAAAGAACATTTGGTCATGGAGAAAGGTTCACTCAAAAGGCTTGGTCATGAAAGTGTTAATAAATAACTATGTTTCATAAAACGTTCAAAAAAAAAAAATTAGTACTCAAGATATACTAAGAAAGAAAGGAGCATTGAGAATTTTTTACTTTATTTAATTAATGAATTATTTCAAATTAAATAATAACTAATTTAAATAATTGACTATGAATTAATGATTGGCTAGAATTTTAATGACAGCAACACAGAATACAATAAAAATAATGGAATTAAGAGGAATAGAGAATATTGTTTTAGTAACATCAAAACATTTTAATGAGAGGAATTAAATTATGCAAAACATCGCTGAATTTTAAGTGCTCTTTTGGCTATAGTAATTTAACACAATCTGTAACACCCAAGATTAATAATTATTACAACTAAGAGTATTCACTCATACAATATATATATATATATATATATATATATATATATATATATATATATATATATTATAAGTACCACCCAAATACACTCCTCCAAAAAGATGGTCTCACACTCTATTGGGATAAATCCATTATCACTGACCATACTGTGCGTCATAATAAGTGAGATATCCTCCTTATAGATATGAAAGAAAAAAAGGATAGCTTAGTGGTGTCGGGATCCCCAATGGTAATAAGATAAGCTCCACCGTTGGAGAAAAACTGAGAAAATATCAGGAGCTAGGAATAGAATTGAAGGAATCATATCATTAGGAGAGCGTCAACATCACTTCAATTACAACATACTCCAATGGACTTATACCAAAGTCAAACCTACCCCAATAATAGGATCTGCTTTGAAGGAAAATCGTTCCTGAGAGTAGACAAATTCTAATACTTCGACTCTACAATAACCTCAATGAATGATCAATGGTAGGAAATAGACCAGCGTATAACAAGCGCAAACAGAATTTTCTTATCCCTTTCAAATGTATTGAAATTCCGTAGAATCTCAAAAAATCTCACGATAACCGAAGCCATTTGGGTTCAGAGATCTAGGCGAAGATCAATAAAGAGATGCTGACAGAAACTGGTCAGTCAATATCTCATTATATGAAGCAACGGAAGCAAAGGTACGACACTACAATGAATGCCTAAATATTAGGGAAAATACCTTAAACCATGTGGAAGATCAAAAAGAAAATGGATTGATGAAATCAGCAAAGGTGAAATAGAGCTGAGTGCATGAAGGTAATGCAGGGGAAAGAAATATCTCAAGATAGGCAGAGATGCAGTAGGCTTGTTAAAAGGCAGAAAAATACCTGCAATTTCTGTAATGACAACAGAAAAAAAGTTTACATACAAATTAATTAATAAATATTTCATATTATTTATCAACAGTAACAATTATCATTTTCGTGCTATCATGAACGATATTCAGGTCAATAATAATTATTAAATCACATAAAAACGGCAATATCAAGAAAAGTGGCCTCAGGTTAAGTGTTTGTGTTTCAAATTGAATAATGTCCTTCTATATTTATTCATGAAATCCTTTCTCTCCTGGAGGTAATGAACTTTTTAATTGCAAAAGTTCTCGAACTAAAAGTGGGCTCTGTATTTCCAGACCCGAGTTTGCTAAGAAAGAAGATTTTATAGAGTTTAGCATACGGTAGACCTTGAGGAGGTATAATATTTCTCTACTGGCTTTTATAATGAATAAGTGAATGAACGCAAGGCTGAACCAATTTTTAAGTTTGATAACTCAAATTTTTCTTCGAGATTCCTTGTCATTTTGTGTCATGATTGTTTCTTGAACGGCTCTACAGAGTTTTTTGTTTTTCTTTAGTCACTCCGTTATAACTAAAGCACATATTTGACTATGGTGCAAGGGTGGAGAAACATTTTATCATTAAAGACCGCTGAATGGCTAGGCGATCCTAATGGAGGCTTTAACAATTCTTTACATTTTACTGTTCAAACGAAGCTGATCAAACTTTTAAATTTATGAATATATAATACATCCTCAAGAAAAAAAGTAAGAAAAAAATAAGTGTTTGCGAATTACATTTATAGTGTATTATTGAATCCAACAAAACAGAAATCTAATGTAATAATGTAAACTAATTTCAGAGTAAAAATTATTAAACAAATTATAACACATAACTCCCACTTTTTCCAACCAAAAACATATAGTATACAGAATTCACTATTACTAATTCAAATTGTACTACATCTTGATCAAATTGTATCACTGTAATTTCCATATGTTCTGTAGTTCAGATCGTATTATTTTTTATAAACATAAAATAAACGAAACGAAACCACAATTTGGATAATTTTTTTTTCTTTACGAATCTATATTGTACATCGCTATTATTGCTTATTGCTAATTAATGTTATTATTTAACTATAATTATTCGTATTACCAATTTGAAAGCATGATAGGGAAGAAATAATTCTGTTAATTACAAGAGTGGGCCGATGATATGGCCAGCTATATAGCAGGACTAAGCAGGTCTTTTCATCTTCAGATTGAAAAAAAAACTGTTAATTTAAAAGACCATACTGAAACATATCTGTACCTATGGACTTGAACTGGGAGGAACTGTTTAGCATTCGAATATCAAACGCATCCAATCCTTCCAGTCCAAAGTACTAAGAACAATAGTCACAAACAAGACCTAAAGATGCCATTTGTTCTTGACATCATCCCATCCAGATTCTCAAACTTTCACCAGAATCTTATCCACCATCCAAATCCTCTAGCTCAATCCCTATCCAGCTTCCACCATCCCTACAATCCTCCTTGAAGGATAAACGGCAGTGGTCTCGAGATCTCTTGTAAATATGCTTCTGGAGTCCTGTCAATGGCCAGCTTCTCCGCTCAAGTCTATCTGTAGCACTAGCACTAGCACTAGAGCATCTGTGGCTCTAGTGCCCTTCTTCAGTCTCCACTGGCTTGCCAGAGCGGAAGAGAGGCACTGGGATCTCCTGGAGTCACGGGTGGATCTACGTGGGAGGAGGGGCTTTCGGGCTGAAACTTCCCTCCAAAATGGTAAAAAGTAACCATGTTTTATGGAAAAAGATATTAAAAAATTATCTCTTAAAATATTGTTGTAGATGTAATCACATTTAAAAGAACTTTAGGAATCATTTAAATACTATTTGATGTTAGTTTATTTCTTTATCTTATTTCTTAATTACTTTTATCCTAAAGTAATTATAATCACTTTTATGAAAGAAAAGCTTTCAGGCTGAAGCCCCTCCCAAAATTAAATCCTGGAT